CAAGGCGACTTTGTGCTCCTTGGTCCCCCATGGTAGTTTATTTCTGTACAAAGGTTATGTCTACCTTTCTCATGGATTATGCTTAGTTTATTCTAATATTCATGACAACACCCATCAAGATATCCAAAAAAAATAGCACTGAGTATAAAATGAATTTTATTGGAAGAGAATGAAGCCAAGGATTAGAGAGTACGTGGCAGCTTGCCTAGTCTGTCAAAGCAATAGAGCTCGACATTTGAATGCGATTGGCATTGGCCCATTGCAAACCCCTAGAGTTATTCTTTTTTTTCAAACGATAATAATACAAACCCCTAGCATTACCACTCAAAATATGGATAAGTGGAGGGAATATGGTAAATTGGGTACCAGTAGGAATATGGTAAATTGGGGTACCTGAATGTTGTGAATTTATTGATTCAACATGGAAATCAACGATTAAAGTAGTAGAGAGACACACACCAGGAAACTGCCATCCAACTAGCTGGCGAGAGATCTACACTTCTCAAAGACATTAATCCAGGGTATCTTTGGGCTAAACTACTACTCTGCCAAGCAAAGATAATCAATGGTATGACTAATTATGAAATCATTTTTAGCAACTCTAATCATTAATGAAGAAAGAAATATCAACACAAGAAGACGAGAATATATTCTACAAGCAAAAATGTTAAATCAAATGGAATAAATACAATCTATAATACACATGGATCGTATTCTTATTAAGAAACGAAGAAGAATGTTGGCATCTTGTCAAAAGTGACACATCTCTTACCCATACAAGTATTCTAATAAATTTTCCTTTGTTGATTCTTCAGTATTATAAGCAATTGAAAAAAATTAATAAAAAGGAGAAAATTTCATCAATATCCATCCAGCAACAAGTACCTTGTCTGTTAGAGGAACCCTTCCGTATAGAGATGATGGCTCAAAATATTGAAGGTAAAGATTACCCAGTCTTTCATTTGGACACGAGTTATCCTGCTCGATTACGCCTTCCTCAGAAGAACATCCATTCTCACCTCCACAACTTCTCGCATTCACTCTCATCACTGAACGAATCACTAAACGAGTTCCTCATCTCTCTTACACACTCAGTTTCATACCTATTATCCTAATAAACAAAAGTGAAGCCTCACACCACTCACATATCTCATGAAAATATACACTGATAATTATGCTTCATTAAACAAATAATGTAGCCACATTAAATTTTCCCAAGAATATCAATCAACCCTGTACAAACTTAATCTTGAATTGTAAAATCACCAGCCAACTAGATCAGATTATCTCAAATTTAAATGTAAAAAAGAACAAAGGGGAAATTCACAATAACCAATATAAAAGATGAATATTTCTTTTATTTGTCTTGGTGTGCTAGGGGAAATTCGTTAAGCTCCATGGTTCACTCACGCCCCAAATTAAGCATAGTTTACATTAAAAAAAAAAAAAAAGGAGGTGCGAAAACAACAAAAGGGAAAAACGAAAATAAACCTAAAAAAGAATGGTGTGGTGAGCTATGTCGCTGACGAGGTACTACTCCTCTAGCTCACCACACCATTCTTTTTTAGGCCCCAGCTATGCCGCTGAAGGCCCCAGCAAGACTTGTTTATTTTAGGTTTATTTCGTTTTTAGGTTTATGCCGCTGAAGAATAAACCTAAAAAAGAATGGTGTGGTCAGCAATTCGTCTTGCTGAAGGCCCCAGCTATGCCGCTGACGAGGAGCTGGGGGACCGTCCCAATCTGCGATACCTGCGGTTGCTGCTGTTGCGGTGGTGGCGAAGCAACTTCCTCGTGGCGGATGAAATCCTCTAGGAATTGTTCTTATTGCCAGGAATTGAAGATGAAATTCTTCAGGAATTGGTAGCAAGTCGGAAAGTAGGGTTCTTCTCTCTTTGTTCTTCGTCCAGTTTTTACAGAATAAAGTTTGTTCGCTACGAAACACTATTTAAGTGTTATAATAATTTATATATCACTTTTTAAAAGAGTGTTATAATATGAATAAGTGTTATAACTTATATAACATGTTTAAAAGAAGTGTTATGTAATGTTAATATTCTTACAACGCTTGTTAAATTAAGTGTTATCTAAGGATTACGTATTTTTTACATAGCACTTATTTAAAAAAGCGTTATGTCTAAAGTGTTAT